CTTCTCTTCTTCTTCTTCTTCTTCTTCTTCTTCTTCTTCTTCCTCCTCCTCCTCTTCTTCTTCTTCGTTTTCCTCTTCCTCTTCTTCTTCTTCTTCCTCCTCACCTCCTCTTCTTCTTCTTCGTTTTCCTCTTCTTCTTCTTCCTCCTCTCCTCCTCCTCTCCCTCTTCCTCTTCTTCTTCCTTCTTCCTACTTCTTCTTCCTCTTCCTTCTTTTTCTTCATTTCCTCCTTTACCTTCTCCCCCACCCTCCCCTCCTCTCCTCCTCCTTTTTCTCCTTCTTCATTCCCTCCTCTGTGTCCTTATGTGAAACCACCTCTTCCTACTTCTGCGCTTTATATTCACCTTCTTTTTTCTCCTATTTCCCTGTTTTTTCATCTCCACTACCTTTGTCTTCCTCTCCAAGAAGTAAAAGAAAGGAAAGAAGGAAATGAAGAAGGAAAAGAATTATATATATATATATATATATATACATATGGAGAAACACACTCAGTTCTCTGAAAGTGGATAGGAGTTGGGCTACCTGCTTTGCTGCGAAGCTTAGGTTTTTTACTTTAATGAATTTTTGTCTCATTGTTTGGTTTACATACATATCTCGCTAATACATCCGCACTAGCACAAAAGTAATGGTTCATTTAACGTTTTTCGCCCCAGAAAGAGTGACACCTCTTGCCATTCATGCCTCGTCGGGTCGCTTGACCCCTTCTATTTTGCGGGAGTATTGTTGGCGTTCTCTCGGCGTATATAATGTCTGTGGGAAGTTGTGTTGACTGTGTATAAGTAAAAAGTACTCTAGGGGAAAACGCCTTAGGCGCAACGATTCTTGAATATCAAAACTATGATTTTTTTTTTTTTTTTACGTTGTTGGCGGTGGATTTCCCCCGAGAGAAAGAAAACAGTAGGAATAGAAAATTATCGCTGTTTCCGTATTTCCGAACTGTCGCGCACGTAGCAGAACGTGAAAATAACCACGCAGACAAGCAGCGAAAAGACGAGAAAAGAGTAAAAGGTTAAAGCGTTGACAATGAGGAAACATGACAACCTCGCAACGTAGAGATCCTGCGACCCGACAAGGTATGAATGGCAAGAGATGTCACTCTGTTTCCCGGCAGGAAAACGTAAAATAAACCAAAAGCAGTTAATGTGAAGTTAATTAAAAACAACAACAAAACCATCTCGTGTTTCATTTTGTGCCAATAGAAACTTCATATTCATGAAACCCAGCAAATCCCCGGATGAAGAACTGCATTTGAGATTTCAAATCCCAGATGGATCGGGTACCGCTCTTCTCTAGTTGTTGACATCTTTTTGCTTTTTACCGTTCTCCCTTTTTTCTGTACATGTGTGTTCATTATGTGTGTGACTGAAGGGACTCATGTGTAGAGCCAGTCATATGATGAAATATTAGATGGAAGGTTGTGACTAACATAAATATTTTACAAACTGTATGTATGGAAGCTCATGTCCCCATTTCTCATTGTACGGATGCAAAAAAAGACCTTTATAGATTCTTTATATGACTTTCTATGGTAGGGCTATTCAACTGGCCGCCCGCGGAGCAAATCTGGCCCTCAGAGGCCTAGCAAGTGGCCCGCGGATCACCTGCTAATTATATTGTATGTATCTTTATATGCTGGAGCTCAGGTCTCTGGTCCGCGACAATCTCCATGACCGAACAGTTTGGTCCGTTGGTGAATGTAGTTGTGTGAGTATGTGTGTGTGTGTGCGTGCGTGCGTGTGTGTGTGTGTATGTGTGTGTGTGTGTGAGTATGTGTGTGTGTGTGTGTGCGTGTGTGTGTGTGTGTGTGTGGGGGGGGCGTTTATATAACCTCTGTAATCATCGCTTTCATTTTTCATTGCCAGCAAAAAAATAATGTTTTACTATTTAATACTACTGTTTACGAGGGATAGAAAGGCAGAAGAAGAATACTAATGTTTACGGGGGATATAAAGGCAGAAGAAGAATACTAATGTTTACGGGGGATAGAAAGGCAGAAGAAGAATACTACTGTTTACGGGGGATAGAAAGGCAGAAGAAGAATACTACTGTTTACGGGGGATAGAAAGGCAGAAGAAGAATACTAATGTTTACGGGGGATAGAAAGGCAGAAGAAGAATACTACTGTTTACGGGGGATAGAAAGGCAGAAGAAGAATACTAATGTTTACTATTTATTACAAATACGCAACTAGATTTATTAATTGAGCTAAAGGAACGCTCGATACGTGCTGGGGGGGGGGGGGGGGGCGCTAAGTGGTCTTGGGGCATGGCGTCCACCTAGAGTGCTAGAGATTTCGGGTTCAAACCCTATAAAGGCTGGGATTGTTTCTGTCTTTCTATCCCCCAATGGAGCATAGGCCCTCAACCAACTCACGCCAAGTCGTTCTATCCTTCGCCATTGCCTGTAGCTCTCCCCATGTCCTCCCCATTTTTCTAACTTCATTCTCCAGCTCCCTTCTCCATGTGTATTTTTACCTTCCTTTATTTCTATGCACTTGTGGGTTCCAATGCAAAGACATTCTAGTTATACTGTTCTCTGATTTTCTCAATGTGTGTCCTGTCCAACGCCAGCGTCTTTTCTTTACCTCTTGGTCTACTGGGGCTTGCTTAGTTTTCTCCCAAAACTCTACATTAGTGAATCTATCATACCATTTAATTCCTTCCATTTTGCTCAGGCCCCAATTAATAAATGTCTGTAGTTTATTAGTAATTGCTTTAGTTGTTCTCCATGTTTCCGCCCCAAACAAAAGTACTGATTTGACATAGAAAGTTTTAAGTTTAGTATTTCTTTTAATTTATTTAGACCTGCACAAATTCCCTAGTGCTCTGAAGGCCCCTCTTGCCTTTTGTATTCTTATTTTAATATCTCTATCAGTTCCCCCATCTTTATCAATATTACTGCCGAAATAGATGTATGGCTCCATGTATTGGAGTGGGGTGCCATTAAGAGAAACCGCATTACTATTTGCTTGATTTAGTCACAGGGAAGTAATTTCCCCTGATCTCTGGGTAGTGAGATCGGACGCCCGTGTATTGTTGCGCAGTAAAAACTTCCTTGGCAGTTGGAAATTGAAAATACTAGCCTAACGGCGCTGCCCGGACAAAATTTGGAGTTAAAAATCTACCCAAAGTATTTCAGGATCCTCGCCGGTGCTGCTTAGTTCGTCCACTACGCTAAGATTCTTCGGACTCAGGCTTCAGTTAGAAGTAGAACGGGGAACCTATGGATTACTGCCCTTGTGCCGTGATGTTGATCCGTTGAACAAGCCACACGAATTGCTGCATGCTTACTCAAGTCTTGCAGAAGCTGTAACGTATAAAAACTACCAGTTACTAGTCCTGTACCGCAGTGATATATTACGGCAGCGCACGCATACTTACAACAGATAAGCGACGAGGAAAGTATCTCATGATACTCTCTCCAGTGAAATTATTACCTGCGAACGCTTACACACGCGAATTGATCACTCCTGGCGTGTTTGTGTAGGTGTTGGATTCAGGCATGCACAAATACTCGCTGTGACACACATGTTCCTGTTTCTCACATGTTCCTGTTTCTCACCTCCAGGATTGCAGTGTTTCCCAAACATTTCTTAGTCACGGCGCCCTAACCTAAGTAAACGTATGACTATTCGTATGTAAGGAGAGAAAACAATAATACAATTCGTGTATCTTCGAGTATTTTGCGGCGCCCCTGTAAAGAGGCCACAGCGCACAGTTTGGGAATCACTGGTCTAGGGAGTAGCATCGAGCTGCCTAGAGCGGCGCACAGTTTGGGAATCACTGGTCTAGGGAGTAACATCGAGCTGCTTAGAGCGGCGCACAGTTTGGGAATCACTGGTCTAGGGAGTAACATCCAGCTGCTTAGAGCGGCGCACAGTTTGGGAATCACTGGTCTAGGGAGTAACATCCAGCTGCTTAGAGCGGCGCACAGTTTGGGAATCACTGGTCTAGGGAGTAACATCAAGCTGCTTAGAGCGGCGCACAGTTTGGGAATCACTGGTCTAGGGAGTAACATCCAGCTGCTTAGAGAGTCAGTATTCTGGTAAGAGTGCAACGGGAACAGTTCCCGGAAACGTTTTCATCCGTGGAAACATCTTTACTGCAGGACCTTACAGTTGCCAAGACACTTGATGTCTGATTCATTTCATTTTTCAAGAACTTGTTGGTCAACTTTTATTAAGATCGATTGTGTTTATTTGTCCTGTACACATTTTGCGTTCGATTTTCGTTAACAAAGGTATTACTGTTTCTTTCTACAGGCGAGACTCGAGACAAAGGCTTGTCGTTTTCTGCTACACTAGGACTGGACCAGAACGACACTCGTACATCCCGGGAACAGATGAAAGAGAATTCAACAAAACATTACTGCTATATGCGAGATCCAACAGGCAGTACCCTACATATACCAAGGCAGTAGTATCGTAGTACCATCCAGTATCAACATAACATCTGTTCAACAGGGGAATATGTTAACGTCTGTACTCTAAACCACATGTAAACTATGAGTTGCTGGGATGTGCCTGCATACGTGTCGTTACAGACTTACACTAGGTGGAAACTGTCTTGAACTAGTTGTAGTGTAGTTTTTGCAGGCCATCACTCATGGCACGATGAGGCATCTATTTGATACATACTTTAAAACCCCAAATCGTGACTATAATAATAGTGATAGAAATTCAGTTCATGGTTAGCGCAGAATGTTGTTATTGTAAAACAGTGTTGGACATTATTATGGAAAGCCCACTTTGGCTATATTTGTGAACGAATGCAAATTCTTCTTCTTCAGCTTCAGAAACACATCATAACAATCTACGAGCACGCAATAAAATAAGAAAGGCGTAGACATATTAGGAGTGATTAGATAATATAAAGATTGAAAGCTTCAGTTAAAATCCTGTTTAGAGTAGTCCCCCCTAGAACGCACAAGTAACATCATTATTGGCTAATCATGGAGTACATGTTATTTGTTAGCGGGAGAGAAGTCTATTGTGCTCCTGTTATGTTCTACTTGTTATTCCCAACGCTGATCTCTGTAGCGTCCAGCCAGTCGGTGAAGGTCACCCTGGGACCACTCAGGGAAGAGCAGAAAGCCAGTACTTACGTGGGGAACATCGCCAGTGCTACGTCAATCAGCCGAGACGTCACTCAGATAGAGTTTACCACCTTAAGGTTCGATTTTCTGGACCCTTCCGACCGAGAGACGCATTTGTTTTCCATAAATGGCCGCTCTGGGGCCCTGTTTACACAGACGATGATTGACAGGGAGTCCATTTGTCCCGAGATGGAAGAGTGCGTGTTGAAATTCGATGTCACCGTGAGTTCCGAGGTGACGGCGTTTCTTCGACTCGTCGAGGTCTCTATCAGCATAATGGATATCAACGATAACATGCCGACCTTTGATACAGACGAGATCACCATTGACGTCCTGAGAACAACCTGGTGGGACTGACCAAGCCACTCCCAACAGCCATTGACCGCGACACGGGCGAGAACTCTGTTCAGAAGTACAAACTAGTGAGTCCTTCAGAGCCGTAAGTAATCCAGAGTTTAAATTGTTGCGTTTTTGTGTGTCTTTCTTTATAAAGCTGTAGGTAGTGAGCCGAATTGGTTGCAGGTGGCTTACCTGCCGGGCAAACGTCTTGGGTTCGTCTCTACATGGTCCCCGTGTGGGTTCCGGGGCCACACTTTGAGAAAACAAGGATAGAGCCACTGTCTCTCCCCAACAAGCATGTCGTAGGAGTCTATTAATTGGCGGCATACTTCGAACATCTGACTGAGACGCAAGGAGCCAAGATTCTCCATACACACATAAGCCTGATCTGTGAAGCTGATTTGCACGCAACACTTAGGTTCAGGAGCAAGGTGGACGAACAATAAGAACTTTCGCAGAAGAAGAAGAAAAATAGAATGAGGAAGAAAAAAAAATAACAAGAAGAGAACGAAGAAGAAGAAGAAGAAGAAGAAGAAGAAAAAAAAAGAAGAAGAAGAAGACTACGACAACGAGGAAGGAAAAAGAGAGAAAGAGGACAAGAAGAGGAAGAACAATAACAACAACAAGAACAATCCCCCTAAAGTCAGATTTCAAAAACAAAAATAATGACATTGACTATCAGGTGGACGGAGCAAATATGGGTAGAGGACCAGAAATCATTCATAGAAAGTAAAGGTAGCCGGTTGGTCTAAAAATGGACGACTAGCATCGTATGTCCGACTTTTCCCTGACCTGAAAAGGTTCCTGACTTTGCTCTACTATTGGCGCTATCTGGCAGCCCTGGTTACTGAAGCGGGAGGTTTGAAACCTGCTCTGGTGTCCTCGTCGCTCACTGACTGAGGCCGATGATCGACCTTCTCCGAAATATGCCATCTTCAACAGCATGTATTTTGTGCTGTCATCTTCCGCGCTTTGAGCACCATGGCTATAACATCGAGCACCATAGCTATAATATGGAGCACTATGGCTATAATATGGAGCACCATGGCTATAACATCGAGCACCATGGCTATAATATGGAGCACCATGGCTATAATATGGAGCACCATGGCTATAATATGGAGCACCATGGCTATAATATGGAGCACCATGGCTATAATATGGAGCACCATGGCTATAATATGGAGCACCATGGCTATAACATCGAGCACCATGTCTATAATATTGAGCACCCTGGCTATAATATGGAGCACCATGGCTATAACATCGAGCACCATGGCTATAATATGGAGCACTATGGCTATAATATGGAGCACCATGGCTATAACATCGAGCACCATGGCTATAATATGGAGCACCATGGCTATAATATGGAGCACCATGGCTATAATATGGAGCACCATGGCTATAATATGGAGCACCATGGCTATAATATGGAGCACCATGGCTATAATATGGAGCACCATGGCTATAACATCGAACACCATGGCTATAATATGGAGCACCATGGCTATAACATCGAGCACCATGGCTATAATATGGAGCACCATGGCTATAACATCGAGCACCATGGCTATAATATTGAGCACCATGGCTATAATATGGAGCACCATGGCTATAATATGGAGCACCATGGCTATAACATCGAGCACCATGGCTTAACATCGAGCACCATGGCTATAATATGGAGCACCATGGCTATAATATGGAGCGCCGCTGGAACTGTTCGAAGAATGCGGAGCTTAAAAGGTTAATCCCTGTTAGCCAGCGGGTAGACATACTTTCCAATACGATGTGGTGGGTTGATGGACCCGAACGTTTTGTGATTAAACTTTTGACGGTGAACCGTTTGTTCAGTTTTCCTGGACTGTGTAATTGTTGCAGAGTTCGATCGAGAATCTTCAAACCGACACCTGGACTTTATGCTCATATGCCACCCTCATTTAGCTTACAATAATTTCTACTAGCTAGAATCACTATAACATCCAGATTTTGGGCTAACAGACTTACTAGTATTCATATTCCACGTTAACGGACTTGCTAGTATCCATATTCCATGTTAACAGACTTGCTAGTATCCATATTCCACGTTAACAGATTTGCTAGTATCCATATTCCACGTTAACAGACTTGCTAGTATCATTATTCCATGTTAACGGACTTGCTAGGATCATTCTTCCACGTTAACAGATTTGCTAGTATAATTATTCCATGTTAAAAGACTTGCTAGCATCATTATTCCATGTTAAAAGACTTGCTAGCATCATTATTGCATGTTAACAGACTTGCTAGTATCATTATTCTGTGTTAACAGACTTGCTTGTATCATTATTGCATGCTAACAGACTTGCTAGTATCATTATTCCATGTTAACAGACTTGCTAGTATCATTATTCCATGTTAACAGACTTGCTAGTATCATTATTCCACGTTAACAGACTTACTATTATCCATATTCCTTGTTAACAGACTTGCTAGTATCCATATTCCATGTTAAAAGACATGCTAGTATCCATATTCCATGTTAACATACTTGCTAGTATCCATATTTCACGTTACCAGACTTGCTAGTATCCATATTTCATTTGAAAAAACTTGCTAGTATCCATGTTCCATATTAACAGACTTGCGAGTGTCCAGAATCCACGTTAACAAACTTGCTAGTGTCCATAATCCACGTTAACAGACTTGCAAGTGTCCAGAATCCATGTTAACAGACTTGCTAGTGTCCAGAATCCATGTTAACAGACTTGCTAGTATCCATAATCCATGTTAACAGCCTTGCTAGTGTCCAGAATCCATATTAACAGACTTGCTAGTATCCATAATCCATATTAACAGACTTGCTAGTATCCATAATCCATGTTAACAGACTTGCTAGTATCCATAATCCATGTTAACAGACTTGCTAGGTCCAGAATCCATGTTAACAGACTTGCTAGTGTCCAGAATCCATGTTAACAGACTTGCCAGTGTCTAGAATCCATGTTAACAAACTTATATCCGTGTTAACCTAGCTTTTTAACTGTCCAGATTCTCGCTGAATGTGGAGAAGACACTCAACAACAAGTTCCGGGTCTCGCTGGTGGCTAACTCTGTGCTGGACCGCGAGAAACAGGACCGCTACACCCTCCTCCTGACGGCCACTGACGGTGGCCCACAGCCGATGACAGGTAAGACTGCCCCTAGGTCACCAGCTTGACTGGTCAGTTTGCAGTCTGCATTGCATGTCAGGTGTCTTAGTACTTACTATCCCCTCTGGATATTAGGTTGGAGGCTGTTCACAACGAAATACCCAACGTTTGCACAAGAAGCTCCTCGTGATTGCTGGGGCTCCGTGTCTAGGACGCACGTTGAGAAAACCTGAGAACACTATAACTAGAATTTTTTTGCAGTGGAACCCACAGGGGCATAGAAATAAAAGAAGATGAAAAAAAAAACACATATAGAAGGAAGCTAGAAGGTGAGATTACAATGATGATGATGATATAGCGAGAGCTGCACGAAGTTTGAACTGCGAAGTTTGAACTGGCGTCAGTTGGTTGAGGGCCTATGCTCCATTGGGATTAGAAGGCAGAAGGAAAAAAAAACCTGTTGTAACGCGTGGAATGAGACGGCACAAAACGAAATCGCCATTATTTAATTATGTTTGTTCGATTACAAAAGGTAGGCCTCTATGTCAATGTTCAATGCAAAGAACAGATTCAAGAACTAGGTGACAACTGGAAAGATTGATAGAAACAGGACAGAGGGAGAGCATAGTGACAAAATCTTGGATGACTTGTCCAGATGCACGGGTCGGTACAAGAGCAGCACCCGATCCAAGATTCTGCTGATCATGTATGATAGTCAATGATAACCGCCCAGTGTTGCCACTTTTCTTTGACAAAAAACACCCAAAACGGAGTCAGAAATATCTAAAAACATCTAAATTTGCGTGAAAAACATCTTAGAAAAAAATATCCAAATGGAGTCACAAATTACATAGCTTTTGATAAGACTTACCCTATAGAATCATGTCCTCATCTTCACTGATGTCTGCCTTACAAGATCTACAGGATAAACTTAGCATGGATAATGAAGTTGAAGCTTCAGATCCAAAACGACTCTGGAATGCTTTAGCTGTTCCAATTTCTTTTAACACCCAGTCAGGGAGCTGATAAGTGGAACAGCCTTTTCCTACTCTTATCAGGCCGAATTTTATTGTCAAAATAGCATTTAAGACGTCACATTTTATCCTGTTTCTTAGGTTAGATTTGATAAATTCACTCCAAATGAAAAACGTATAGAAAAACATCTACCATCTAAATGTCAAAAACGCCATCTAAATGAAGGGAAAAAAATCTAAATCTGGATGTAAAACATCCAGAGTGGCAACACTGTAACCGCCTATGATTTTCGGCAAGGCACAAAAGTAGAAGAAGGCTGGGCGATGTTGTCATTGAACACGGGGCGGTGAGTCGACACCAGTTTGGGAAACACTGGTGCAGACAGATACTCGGGGTCCCAGCTTCACATCAAACTGGTCACCCGCTAGCTGCCCACTGACAAAAAACGTAGAGAGCACAGAGCTCCAGCAACATCTATAGACATACTGTAGCAGTCTCTCGGGCTAGCGAATTCCCCGTCATGATCGCCCCAAATCTGCATTACCTCAACGCCGAAGCAGATGAAATGCAGAATTTGATGGCGCCATTTTTGTGCAGCCATATTTGAGTCGGGAAGTTAAAAATCCCGGATTATTTGCATGCGCGTGGAGCTCTTTGAAGCTTCATTCAGTTTGCATTAAAGCCATTTGTTTATTTTTTGGCTGCTGTTTATTTTTATGTTCCGGCAGAGGGCGCAGTCAGAAAAACTGATGACGAGGCATTTTCTGAAGCGATAATGAGGCCATTGAATGTCTCAGTGAGAACTGTTGTGCTTGGCGATCGTTAACTTCAGCGAGTGACGCTTTTATTTTTTACCCTTGGGAGGCGATAAATACATTATATAAACATAAGATAAACAGATACATGAACACGGTAACAAGATGTACAGTTGGATTGTAGGACGGTATTAGCCAAGTGCTTGGTGGATATCCTGGGTTGAAATGACCGTCTCCACCTGAGTTTATTCGTCATCAGAAGATTTCGGAGTCGGCAGAGCCACATAAAATCAGCGCTGTGAATTTTATTGGCTGTTCGGGGCACCAGCTTAACCTAACACTGCCAACTTTTTTCAAGCATCACGCCTGATACTTACCTAACACTGCCAACTTTTTTCAAGCATCACACCTGGTACTTACCTAATACTGACAACTTCTTGCAAGCATCACACCTGGTACTTACCTAGCACTGCCAATTTCTTTCGTTCGACAGTTATGCCTGTAAGATAGCACACTTATGGATTTTTCTCTCTAATAGATATCAGATGTCATCTCATCTCATCTTGATCCTCTCATACCTCCTCCTTCTCCACCTACCACCACCACCACTACCACCACCACCACTACCACTACCACCACCACCACCATAACCACTAAGATGTGGTATAACTACTTACGGTGTCCAGTTGACGTGTAATTCATGGGAAAGTGCCTGTTTGTCCGCTTTGTAAATCGGGATTCCCAGGGAATCTGTAATTCCCTTCTCCATATTTTCCATGGTCAACCTCTGCTTCGCTTCCCGCCTGGGCTGAACATGATTGCTTGCTGTGGTATACTGTCTCTTGTAATCCGCGTTTGATGTTCGAGGAAAGTTGTCCTGACTGTTTATAGGGCCATTCAGCACGTCAGTGTGTGGGTTTCCAGGTCAGTACATCCTCCAGATATAACTGATGGTAACACGGCTTTTGATTTCGAGTATCAGTATCAGTTGGCTTCTGCGTTTTGATCTTGTCTGGGGTCACACCTTACGAAGAATGAGTGGACACACACACACACACACACACACACACACACACACACACACACACACACACACACACACCACACACTCAGCTACACACGCGCGCGCTTCGCGTGCACACACATATAACTAGGAAGCTCGGTGAGGGGGAAAGACAAAAAGGGAACGTCTTGACGAAAGTCTTTATCAACGAATAAACAAACAAACACTGAGGATTTTTAAAAAAGGATAATTTAATAAGTGAATCCTATAGAAGTAACACTAAACATCAACTAACCTACGTAAAGATTCACGAAAACGGGAGTGTGGAAAGTTGGAGTGGACAGATCTGGAAAACAAAAACTGTATACAAGTACGCATGTCTGAATGTACATCTTCCGGTGTATGTTCGAGGGCTCCATTTTGGAAAATAGAAATCAAATGTGTCGTACGAGGTGCGACTAATTAGGGCTTTCCTTTAAAGTTGTAGTGCAGCTGTATCAGAGACAAGAACCAACAGTCTGCATAAAAATACGCGACATATGTAAAACAGATGTGCACGCAAACTCAAATTCAGGGTCGAGACCAATGTTCAGAAGTGGACGAACAACCAGCCGCTGTTTACAGCCAGTAAACGTGAAGAAAAAATTCTTTTGTCCCTGCTGGTTTGGTTTTTTTATTCTATAAGTCTTCCAGTTGACAGTCACCACTTGATTGTGATGGCATACAGGCGTTCCGACGTGTATAAGGATTTGTTGTCTCTTGGTGGTGCAGTGGAAGTTTTCCTCTTGCAGGTACTTTGACGGTCCACGTGAACGTCACGGACACCAACGACAACAGCCCGACCTTCACCCAACAGGATTACTCCTACAGCGTCGTGGAGACTGCTGGGGTCGGCGACGTGGTCGGCAAACTGACCGCCACAGACAAGGATATCGGCAAAAACGGGGATATCAGGTAGTGTATTGCGTGTCGTTGTCGGCGCCATCGTTGACATTGCTAGTGTGAATTTGTTTTGCTGTTCTTGTTGTTGTCATTGCTGTTGTTGATATTATTTTTCTGTTTCTCCGTCATCGTCGTCGTCATCAATAATAATAGACCAGGGCTAAGAGAATCTTGTCTTCACTGTATCGGGTATTATCACACAAATGCGTCCTGAAGTTTTCTTTGTCTCTTCGCCTAAGCATCAAAATGGCGGCTGGCCGATATATAAA